ACAAAATGCACCATGGCAATGAAACTACAGACGATTCAAACTGCTAGGGGCTAATTTCAATAACCTGAACCTGGAGCCCAGTCTGTAGGCAGATGGCAATGGCCCCTCAGCCCTACAGCACCCACCCAGGCCCCATGCCAGGGTGTGTAAGTTCACAACACAATTTAGGCTATGAAGGAGAAAAGTCTCTTTGTCCCCACCTACTTACAGAACAAAGGACCCTCCAAAACAAGCCCTTTTCTACCAACAAATAAAGTAAGTCCAACTGATGAAAATTCCCACCATCTGCTTTCCATTTTTTCCTATAATGGAAAAATACATTCTCTGCTATTTTTAAACAGAATTTGTTTGCAGTCCTAACATCTTTGCTTTCTAATAAACATTTTTAGCTCAATATATAGATGCCACTAACAAAGTAGGCTTCAGAGACAGGGAAAATCTGGCTCAGGAAACCACAAGAGACCCTAAGTTTACCAAGAGCTAAATCTCACTGAGATGAGATTCCCAGTTTCACCATTTAATGAAAATGACAATGTTCTAACTTAAAATATATCTGCTATCCAGAAAACATCAAGGAAAAAAAATCCCAAACTGATAATTTTTATTAAACTGGATTGGGAAGCAACTACAGAGGCAAAGCTGAAAAAATAAGCCTTCTGTATGCAGGTGGAGTGGAGGTGGAAGGGACAAATAATACGGTGATACATACTTGAGGCAGCACCTCTTCAGTTTGGATTAATTGCAGGCAGAACATTATGTCTAACCAGGTCTTCAACTAGATTTCTCCAAGTCCAATAATGATAAGCTTCTATATCTGCTTTAATTGATACGAGCTTTTAGGACAGACTGATAGCAGACATCTGAAGAGAGGAAGTAATACAGAGAAGTGACAGATTTTCTGTTTGTGGGTAACAAAATATGCCCTTATATTTATGGGGAAAAAAAGTGTTTCTCCTGAAATCAGATATGAAAACTTCTTTTTTCTCCATCATGGAGAGCTCTATAAAAAAAAACAACACCTTTTTTTGACATTTTTTCATGGGAAATGCCGTGCTCTGTTTCTATGTAACAAAACATGCTACAGAGAGGTAACAGTACATGTGGTTATAAAAAAAATGGCACGAAAACACACTAACTCATCCTGCTATTTCCGTATTTGTACATGAATTTATGTATTGCAAAGAAAGGGACTGAATAAGTCCCATTTTAAGGTTTTTTTTTTTTCTTAACTCCTTCTTTGTTTCTTTAGTACATGCTCTCAAGTTAACACATCATCATGTGGGTGAATGTCTAAAAACTGTCTTGTGAAATGTCTGGAATTAATATTGTATCTGTGTAGTGAATTCACCAGTACTCACATTAATAGAAAAGTTAGGATGCTAAAGGAACCGATAAAAAGACAAGAGTAATGCGGAGGTGTGGAAAATGAGCTTAAAATGCTTAGGCCTGCAGGTCTTGTTAGATCCATTTAAAAAATAGAAACTGTAATATCTCAGCCTTAAAGTCTGGTCCACGTCCCCTCACAGGATCTATACACACATTATAAAAAGAGTTAATTTACTGAGTGTTTTGATTCATCTGCAGTAGTGGGAAAAAGCAATGACACACGGCTTTTCCTCCAGATTACTCCGGATCTCTATATTAGGGACTCCCATTAAAATGTGAGAGTGGATAGGTTTGATCCCTAAAAAAAAAAAAAAAAAAAAAAAAAAAAAAAAAACCAAAGGGGCAAAACTCCTGTGGGGCCACAACCCTGTCATCAAGATCTGTACATACAGAGAGTTCCACTGAAGTCACAGGCACAGAACTGTACCTACAAAGACCTGAATGTGGGCTCAGGAGTGTAGCCAGGGCCCACAGTAAGGACTTCTGCACACCTGGGTCTGAGGAGGATGGATTTTTTAGTTCAATTTTATAAATCACAACAACTACAGTTCAGGAAAGGTTCACAGAATGTGGCTGTGTTGATGTAAAAAGTGATTCACTTTAGTGCCTTTCACCTCTGTTTAAAACACCTTGCCTACAGAAAGTGAGCAAGAAGCACAGCTATTGAGATGAAGCCATTGCCTGATTTTTATTCCAGAGTAGCTCCCCACACGGAGACAATTCTGGAATTAAAGTATTTTTGATCCAGAATAATTATGTTGCTAGTAATGTGGGCAATCTATTCCATGGTAACTGAAGTACAGCAGGACAGCCCTTCCAGAAGAATTGAGATGGTTACACACCCCCACAGACACTCACAGTAGCCTAGGCTGTAAGGAACACAAGATAGATCTGAATGCCAGCTAAAAACAGTGGGAGTCTTCCCAGTGACTTCAGTGGGCTTTGGCTGAGGCACCATGTAAAGGAAATTGCTTAATTCCTGTGTATTTTTAAAAAGGATTCTAAAAAAAAACCCAATCATATAAAACTGAGCCGCAAGCCTGCAGGCATTCAGACACGAGCACATTTGTACAACTGCTCCTGGTGTGTGAGCACCACATCTCTGCACCAAGAGCTGACAGAACAAACCATTAACCCTTGGCTTTCCCACTGACAGGCAGTCCAAAAGTCCCAAAGCTTGTAGAACCATCAGCTGTGCCTTGCTTTAAGCTACCATCCTCTTTTACAACTTGAGCAATACGAATTAACAGTGTGAACTGAGAACATCAAGGTGAGAAGTACAGCAATCAAATCCTTAAAAAAAAAAAAGCAAAAATAAACAAAAAAAACCCCACAAAAAATAAAAAAAACACCTCCATACCATGTTTTGTATTTCCTGAGGGATTTATTTTGCAATTGTTTAAGTTTCAGCATCAGTAATCTATTATTTTTTTTAAGGATAAAATCTTTCCATCTAAAAATTCTAACCAGATGTGAATTTCAGACTTCCAAATTTGGGACTGTTCAGATCAAGAGCTGTGTTCTAGTCTTTTAGCTATGATCATCACTGTAAACACTGAAGTTTTCAATTATTTCACCCTCAAGTTATTAAGATGCTCAACTTATATTTAGCTGAAATTAAGTGCAGGTCCATAAAATCTCAGTAGACATTTAGAGGATCTAGGCCTAAATCACAGAACCTTAGATCACAGAAGTTTTGTACAATTCTGGAAATCTATTTATGAAAGTTTAACAAAATTTTTGATGCAAATCTCAAGTATGGCAATTACCTGGGTGAGCTAAGAGTAAGTTTTGAAATGGGTACATGTTCCTCCCTTTGATTTGCATTACAAATTGTAGGTTTCTAAGGGGGAGAAACTCTCTTTCTTTAGCTGGCTCTATTACTCTGCCTTCTGAGATGTTGCAGAGATGAGCAATCCCTTTCTGAACCACTAGTTCTATCTGCCCTGTGCATCTCCAAAAACAAACGGGGAAAATGAGAAAATATTCCTTGTGTTGTGGCTCTAGCTTTCTACTAGCCATTTAATAAATTTAATTCAACCTTTTATTAAATCATTTAGCCATTTAAAAAATCATTATGTTATTTACATAAATCTTAACCCTTCTGGCTAAGGGATTAGATGTTAACACAATGCCTACTAATTTGGTAGCACCTTTAATGGCAGTGACCAATTTTTGTTCTCATTACACAAATTAAGACATCATTTCACTCCTTTCAGTCCTCTGCAGAATTTGCTTCTCTGTGAAAACAAAGTTATCTGCATGCTCCAGACATCAAAGACAGCATCAGTCTATTGCTGCTAGTGGCTTGTGCCTATGATCTGTGGTGTAAGATGTCTGAGGATTGCTGAATGCTTCATAAGACAACAGAGGAATATTTTTTTAATTAGATTTTTCTTCTTAAATGCAGGGATTACTGAGGCACAGGCAAGGAGCACTCAGAGAACTAAAGGAGTCACCCATAAAAAAATCTAGCTGTCTTCAGGATTGGACATAAAAAAAAATCTACTTCAGGCTAATTCTTCAGACAGCCTACAGTAGTCTTTAATTTTAGAAAGTAACATAACTTGAAAGTAAATGTAGCAAGAAATAACATATTGCATGTAAAATTATTATATCTATAGTGTATATGTATGTGTGTATATATATATATATATAATCTATACTGCACTTAATGCAGCATATAACAATAACATAATACATTTTCATCCCTAATTTATTAGCTGGAATTTACGTCAGTGGCAATTAATAATGGAAACTCCCATTGGTTCTAATCAGAGTGGATTAAGTCCTGATGCTAAGATTGCAACACTCACAAAAATCCTGGATCTATAGATGGAAAGAAACAAAAGTATATAAAATCCTGGGATATGATCCTGAAATTTGTTCTCTCATAAACAATGTCACTGAGAAAATCCAACCCAGATGAAAGGTCTGAATCATATCCTTCCAAAATCAGTGGCAAAGGCTGATCAACATGCCCAAAGGATATAGTGAACTAAGGCTGGTCTTCAGAGGAGAAAAATGAATGGTGTCTCACGTGATACTTGAAGAGAACACAGCAGCAAATGGAGTTGTAATGCTTTCTAGGCACCGTAATCCCACAACCTTACAAACAGCTCCTGAGCAGAAATCCTGAAAAATGTAGTTTTCTTGAGATCGACAAATTGCTGCTCTTAAAAGAGGGAAGCTGGCTGTCAGACTTTGGGGTTCATTAAAGCAGCTTCCAGGGCTAACACAAGTCTGCCTGTTAGCACAACCATGAAGCATTTTATGCCAGGATAATTGCAAAGACTGAAAGTCTCTTTGAAGACAGACAAGCAGACGTATTGGAACAGTCACTGCTCATTTGGTTTGGGGTTTGGTGCTGGTTTAGGTTGGTGTTTGTTTTTAAACAGAGGTTCTACACTGCTTAAATACTCAATGCATGATTAACATGGGTCACTACACTGCTGCATTAAAGTGTTTGCTTGGTGACCCTGTGCTGTCTCTGTGTTTGTTCTGAGCTCATCTGGAGCTCTAGGAGTTTCTTTTCAAGTCAACTGCATCCAAGAGCCACCTGTCAAACAAGCTTGTTTCCATCTCCTGCAACCCAACTACTGCCACTTTCTCACCGTTCAGATGACTCTTTGCTCCACCTTCTGCATCCTTAACGATAAGACAGGTTCTACAGGCCAGATGTTGACACCAGCTGTGTCGTGGCTGACAGCTTGGGTGATTCCAATGGGTTGGCATGAGTGGGCACAGCCCTGCAGTCTGGGTTCAGATAGAATCGCTGTTTATGGTGCTCTGAAAAGAGGAAATGGTAAGGGAGCTATTGCCATGCACATCATTAAGCATATGCTTAAATGTTTTGTTGAACAGGTGCCCAAAGCACCAGGCTAAAGTGAAACAGGTTGCTATTCCTATATTAGGATTGTAGGTGCAACATAAGCTGCTTTTTTCTCACCCTTGCTACTCCCTGCCTCAGTTTCCCCATGAGAAAACCAGGAAATTACACTGATTTGGTTTGTAAAGCCTTTGTAAACAGCAGCTAAAACACAAAACAAAATGCTTCCTTGCTCCACCAAGGACCCAAGGCCTGGCTACTACTCACTACAATCTTTCAGGTAAAGAGTTGAATTGTTTTCAGGAAGGACATTCGACAAGCTGGAGGAAGGGCACAAGCACCACTGCACCAGTAATGAACCACACATGTTACAGACCTGCAACAGAACACCCAGCCACCTCCTCCCAGGGACAGAGCATGTCACAAGACATGCTCCTCACATCACTTCCACAATTTTTATAAGGGTTGCACGTACACTACTGACACGTGCAGACTTATCAGCGTTCACCAGGTCTGACTAACATTAACACAGCTGTGTGAGCAGAATGTGCTGTGACTCAGCCATACCAGTAAAACTGCACTGACACTGGAAGAATTTGTTTCATGAGTGGACAACAGTGATTTTTACAGCAGTAACACTTTGCTATGCAGCAACACTTATCCTCAGACCACTCTGTCAATACTCTCTGCCTGCTATTCTTGTCCATGTGAAGCACTGATACAGCTTCAAAAGATTTCTCTTCCTTTCTCTGGCCTGCACTCCCACACTTTCAGGAAGCTCTTTGAGCCTACCAACCTCTCATTTTCTAATCTGCTATTCCTACACACAGAGAGAGTCCTTAGCAACTCTGCTTCAAACCACACGAGGCAAAAAATCCACAACCACTGCAGGACCACAGGAGTCAGGAGTACACAAAAACACACAGCACTACTACTAGAGAAGTAAGTGGTGAGCAAGACCCAGTTCCAAGAAATGCAGAGCAAGGTGCATTTGTTCTCACCTCTAAGTGGATATAAAGTACAAGCAAAATTCCTCCAGGGTCCTCCAGGGAAAGAAAACTCTTCCAGGAACTGATCCCCTCGCCCCTTCTCAAAGCATTTAAGAACCTGCAGCTCTTCACAGGGATACCCCAAAGGCAGGCAAGATGCTCAAAGGGAGCTCACATGCTCTTTCAGTGCTTAACAACTTTTTGGTAAAGTTTCTAATTGAAGCTCAAATTGGCATCTGACTTCCAAAGGAAACCTTGTATCACCAGTAAAACATGCAGGAACACTCTTTAGGAGTAATGGGAGAGGAAAGAAGTGATCAGTGAAGAGCTGGAGATTATTGTTATTATTTACAGGACTGAAAACCTCCCACACACATACATACACACCTTTCTTGTCTGCTGTACTGGTCCTGAGCAAAAATTGCATAATAGCATTGCTTTAGCTGATCTAATTCAAGGATGGATACAGCAAAAACAACTCTCAGAAACTTAAATAAGCCCAGCAGGGCAGCTCCAAAATCTTCTGTGCTTCAGCTCAAATAACCTAAGAGGAATATACAAACAGCTGCTGCAGCTTGGAAAACTGCCTGATCCCAGACAAGGTGGCAAACATGGATTGTTTCAGCCTAGGAAACGAAAAGGAAGGGAATAATGCTTGGGAGCTGCTGCCCCTTAACACAGCTGAGAGCCCACACTAGCAGCAACACAGGAAGACTGGCAGGACTTAGAGAAGCAGGGCGGGCAATACACAGACATTCAGCAGGGCAACTGTGGAAGATAAGTTTCTAAATCAAGGATTTCTGGTCTTACATAATTAGTTTTCACCAATTCGCCTGCCCTTCCCCCCACAAAAAATTAAAATCTCACTTTCGTATATTAGTTCTATCTACTAATTACAATGTCCCAAGAACTAATGGCTATCTATTTACAGGGAAGGGTTTAGCTATGGGTTCTTTCCTTTACAAAATTAAACTCAACAAAAACATTCAGCATCCAACCTCTTCACTGTCTGATATCCAGCGAGTCCATGCTGAAAAAGTCTACAGCACTACTTGTCTGCACTCCTACCTTGGCACCTCAGTACCTCTTTGTCCTGTGTGAAGCGTTCAGCAAGGAGTAGCAGCAGAAAGAGGAAGTCGCACCTCTGAGATGGGACAAGACACAAAACCAAGAGAGACAACCACTTAAACAAACTTGAAAGGGATTTAACAACTGGAGATTTCTTCCAGTTGTTACAGTACCCACAAGGAGATAATAGCCAGATGACTGGAAGACAATTGCCTTCTACAGCAGTCGACCAAACTGATGAGGTAGATCCTGCACCAATTTCTTATTTGTCAGAGACCTTCTGAATGTATTTTACTGGGAGGGAGGGATACAAAACTTCCCTCAGTATGTGAGTTTATTTAAGTTTTCCAACTTTGCAGGCAGTGCAGAGGCTCAGGAGGGGAAAAAAAAAAAAAAAAAAAGAAAAAAAAGTATTACCAATACTTATTTCTGCTGCTGCTCCAGTCGTCTGCTATTCAGAAATTATCATTATTAAACAACATATTGTCTGTCTATATTTGGAGGGAAAAGTATTCTTTCAGTCAGCTTCTTCAAGCTGAGTCAGGAAAAGACAAATGAATTATTGGAGTTCTGAAATGCCGAATCATTCTGCTTTGTATGAGAATACCTCAAAATAAAAGCAACAGTAATTAAACAGACAAGTGAACTTTGATGTTAACAAATCCCTAGAAATCTACACAACTTCTAAGGATTTGTTTTCTTGAAACAAAAGGCATTCTTTTTTCCTCATATTTGAGCTTTCAGAAAATTAATTAGAACTACTGATGTTACCTGTGTGACAATATCTGTCTCTTGTCCTAGCTTTCTTTACGACCAGTGCCACTGACTAATAAGAAGTTTCTCTTTATCAGTCATCCCTTGCTCAGTTATCACTACAGGTTTCAGCCAAATGCTCTTGAATTCAGTGAAGGCTAGAGATCCGGTCTAATAAAACACAATTGTCTTACAATCTGTGTCATGAAGAATAACATGATTTCTCCTTTAGCTGCAGAATCTTCTTTAGCTTTTCAAGTAACTTTGGAGGGAGAACAACTTCTCAAGTCTTCAGCACAACATCATCTAAACTGCTACCAGCTGGAAGAAACTATTTCATTAAAATTTACACAAATCAAAAACCTTGGTGTAATACTGAATTGGTAGCTTAATCCCACACTGAGCAGATCTCAATATTGATTTTCATTCAATTTTAAGTTCATTATCCTAGCCATGATTCAGGCCTTCTTTTGTGTGTTAACCAACACAGCAGCACAGTGGTATCTACAGAGTTTCTGAGGTAAGAGTTCACAACAAAAGTTTTATTGGGGGGGAAGAAGAGGTGAACTATCCAAAATCATACCCCAGTTCTATTAAACCCCAAGTCCTACTACCAATAATCCTGCAGTATTACTCTTCCAGCAGGAGATGAAGGCAAGATCTCGTTAATTATCCGTATAACAGAAGCACAAGCAGTCTCTACCACTCATCTGACTTCATTTTGCTAGGTGTTAACACTTTATGAAGTGACAATCACATTAATGACTTCAAGGTCACAGACCATACAGTGCTAGAGCAGGGGCTGGACTAAAACCTCCTGTATCTCCATAGAGTAACCTTAACCTGAGCCTACCCTCTCTGTCCAGGCTAATGAGTAGGTACACCACGACTGGTACATTTTACAACAATGTTGCAAGGCCAGCACAGAAGAGACAAGAAGTGTTGAATAAATCTGTGAGCTGGCCTAGTTTTCTATCCAAAGGATGTCACAGATACCTTGCATGCCAAACCGGGCATATACACCAAGTTCCCAGGAAAGCCGTGCTAAGCACGGCTCAAGGACTGAACGTATCATTGCCATGCTTGCATGTTTTGAGGACCTAAGTTCAAGAGGTAATTGAAACTCTGAAATGCTCTCTAGGTTAGGCACCTGGGACAAGCTTCCTTCCCTGACCCAGAGAGGCTTGACGCTTTGCTGCATGGTTAAATAGGTTCAGACTATCTGTCAGCATCAGTGGTCCAGAACAGACAAATCTGCAATGAATGCGGGGAGGTTTGGCTTTCGGTGTTCTCAGTCTATATCAGAAAACTCAGTAAATGTGAGTGCTTCTCTTTATTAAGGCAATTAAACTGAAACAGCTCAGCCACAGTGTGCTCAAACAGGGAGCAAGCCACAGTACGACTGGGAGGCTGCAGGTGAAGTGGCAGAGAGTGATACCACAAGGCTCCTTTAGACCTCCAGGCAACAGCTCTACCCTTCACACTACAAAATCAAACCATGCTGCTTCAGATGCCTGGTATATTTTTTTTTAAAGAGGAGAGATGGTGTCTCAGCAAAAGAACCATCAAGCTTTCCTGAACCCCTGACCACTTTTCCTGTAATTAATCTATTTAGCCAGAAGGGACAGTTTTGGTAAAGAAAGTAGGTGTGAATCCTTAAAAGCTTCGGTTCTGATCTCATGTAACACAGATCCAGCCAAAGGTTTATTCAGAGTTTCATCAGTGCTTTAATCACAGATCTGTTGGCACCACCACCAAAAAAACATGCCCTGCCCTCCCCACGTTCCCAGCTGCTTGTTCCCACCAGGCTGTGCCTTGCACTAGCACAAGCTGTGCATTTTCCCCCAGACCTGCTGCCCTGTCGTGCACACATCCACCACAACATTTGTGCCAGCCCATGGGAGAAGAAAGGGGAAGTGTGGAACGAGATCTTTCAGGGTGCTATCACCTTAGGAGCTTCATCAAACTTTTTCCTCAGTGAAGTAACAGTGGTGCACTTTTGTAGTGCCTTTAAAGAATGGTTAAAAACTTGTGGAGAAGTAACCAATTCAAAGCTAGATATCAGCAAATACTCCTTCAGAGACACTGCTGGGGCAGGGAAGGATGGTGTGACAGTGTTGTACAGCCGTGCTGTATAATTCAGGAATTGGCAGAGTCAACCTAGAACAAAGAGCCCAGAACCTGCTAAAGTCACAATTTTTACATGCCTTACCATATTTTGAGCAGGACTCTTCTTTTGATCATTGTCAAAGATCCTCACCTCTTATGAGCAAGAAGCAAAACAAGAGAAGGCCAGTCACTAGTTAAACAAACATCCCAGCACAAATTACTTGTGCCTGGAAAAATGCTTACGTTTCAGGGTTTCATAAGAAGCCCAGAGTCAGAATAACTAACAATGAACACCAGTGAGACCTGAGACTGAGAAATGGAGGGAAGGCAGGCAATGGATCTGGCCACGTGAGCCTGCTACGTTTGCACACTGGTATCTGCACGCTGCTTTTTCATTTTAGGCAGATGCTGTGCAATCCAGCAGCAATGGGAAATCAGACAGTCTGAGATTATCCTTTCATCTGACACACAGTTAAAAAGTCAAAGTACTTTCCATTAGCAGCCTAAATCACTCCAAGTTTACAACTGCATTTCCATACAAATTATCAAATCCTCACTTTTTTTTTCCTACTGGAAGGACAAGATCAGATAGACTATTTCTGCTTTTGAAAACAAGGCTTATCATTTAGCTCCCATTTCAAGTGACTTGAAGAACAAACGGTCTCCCAGGGTGGTGTTTTTCCAGTATCCTTGTCACCACCACTTTTAAGGACTGTGGCTTCAAAAGTATGAAGGGTGAGGTAAAACTTGAGGTACAAATCTGAAGAAAAATCCAACATGACTGTGCAGGACTATCCATTCGTAATGGTGAGAAAAGGTTGGGCTGAGCACTAGAAAAGGCAGGTATGGTAAAATTTAGCCCTGCTTCACCAGCCAAAAGTGAGTGCTACATTAAAGAGTGCACCATTAACTGCTTACCTGTTCACCAATGGTGCTCCAGCCCCCATTCCCGCAGCACCATGAACCACAAAAATGCCCAAAGCCTGAGTGGGAAACTCAGGAGCTAAAGTATTGGGTGCAAACAGCTAGGACATCAGTGGGTTAGAACTGAAAGATTTATCTATGAAACCTGGCAAATAATACAGCCTTTGGTCACAGGATCATGTTACTGGTGTGCTTGCACAGTGGGTTAGGAAAATGCATGTCCAGACTTTGCATATGATACACAGACATACTTCCATATGCTTTTGTATGGAATGATAAAATTAACTTCCTTGTTTTTAAACACTGAAAACCCAGAATTTCTTCAGCTATCAGCATCTTTTGGGACTTTCTGCTTGTTTTAGTGTGTTGGTAGCAGGTGTAATGTCTCTAGATATTGAGGAGGCTCTGTAGCCAGCACCTGGGAGCAGCAAAGGAAGGTCCCCAGAGGTACCTTCCAGGCTGCTGCAGTGGGACAGGACCACAGGAGAATTAGAGGTGAGCAAGTTGTGTTTCACAGGCACCACAACTCAGTCCTACCTA